GAAAATAATAAACCTCAATTCCTGAATATAAAGGTTCACTTTCAAAGGAGTAGAGCCTGAGGAATAGATAAAAACGAAAAATACTGTAATCTTAACAGTTTATAGAGGGAAATAAGTATGAAGTGGATATATAAAAAGAAGAAGGCTTAGGACTGATTAAAAGAGTACTTTCATGAGGTTCAGAAAGATATTTGAGTGTGATCTACCATATTCCTGTATTGTATAATGTAGTTACACTGTGGTCAAATCAGATAAGGATGTAGAACAAGTATAAAAGCCAATTGAAAAAAAACATTAAAAACGAAAGATCAGATCTAAAAGTGGCTTACTCAATTGAGCCGGATGCACCTTCCCACTGACTAAAGTTTCAACAGTCAGTTCTGCAAAAGCAGCACTTTTAGACAAAGCATTAGCGGAAGAGATGCATAACGCCGGGGGCGGCATCACAAGACCTACGGCATACTGGCGCAACTGGAGCGCAACTCGGAGGCGGGATGTACAGACTTCATCAATAAGACGACGATGATAACGCAGAGAACAAGGTGGAAACAGTCCATTCGTCCCCAAAATGTGAGCAAGCGAATGTCCTGACGAGGATCCAGAGTCGTCCATATCCAGGACAGGAGCATAGCGACCTGGATAAACGATGTAAGTCAGATTGCTCATTATGGCTTTAGGAGGTGTAACCAATGACCATCTATTAAGAAAGCTAAGCTAATTTAATAAGGACTTAATATAAAGTTTTAAAATTTAATTTATGATCTAGTAAATGGGCTTGTGAATGCCAAACAGAAGATATATAATCAATGGTCAAGAATGCCTTTATAGGGTAGAAGGAAGGAGTTCATGACTGTTGAAAACTGGTTATTTCAGAGTGAATAAATTGTGAATATTTATAAATGACGTAATAACTTTAAGGCAGGACTGAAGAACGAAGCCCAAGCAGAAATATAGCACCCCAATTCAAAACAACCTTCATTTTGATAATAAATACTAAACTACGTTTCCTTCAGGTATGATTACCTAATTATCACTGTAATAAATCAAAATAAATTAATATGAAATCGAGAAAAGCGTAATCAGGAATTTAAGAAATTATGAAGCAAACTACAACTAAAATTAAGCAATATAAGAATAAAATTAAAATAATACCGTGGAAGGTCCAAGGATAAGATTGCGTAGACCAAAGGTTAAAAAAGGATTTTAAGCCAAAGATGCATATGAAGTTTTTGCATCTATTTTAGGCTTGAAAGCTGTTGGGAATAATAATAATCACTAGAATGTATTAAATGAGTTATTAGGTGACAAAAGTAAGATCTAATTTTTAGTTTTGATAATATGTATAGCTAATTAAGTATATTTACGAAAAAATGGTGCTACATGTTTATTCATGAAATAACGTCTTTCACACTTTCATGTAAGGAACCTAATGTATTTAAAGATATAGCAAGATATAATGGTACCATATAAGTTTTGAGGCCGTTCGTAATTGTAGAGTCATTTTATTTAGTAAAATATGACACCTTTAAAAGAGGGGAGTCAGATATATTGAAGAAGCTGCAAATTACGGGTGGAGAAGACAAAAATTACATTGAAGATATAAAGAAAAAACAGGTTTGAAGAATTCTTTGTTGATATATTGTGATATGACTTCCCATTTAGAAGGAAAAATTGGTTGAAAGGAATTCATTATGTGGTCTCACCGGAAACCGAAGGAGGATTGCCGCGTAGAGAAGACTGTTAAATTGGGCGAAGAAGTCCTCAGATCACCATCCTGCGACCCCAATGAAACTGTGCTAAGCTTTTGTCTGTACTGTGGCAGACATAATCAGTGCAAGAATCCATACTTCACGAAATAGAGCAAAAATGTACTAGCCCAAGAAAAAAGGTGACCAGCTGGTAAGATCCTTGTGGGGGAGACCTGAAGACATCCAGAAGAGACTATGCGAAAACAAAATCGCTTGTAAAGGTCTATGGGTCCGAAAATGTGAGCTCGCTGAACACATAGCTAATACAGGACACTCAATAGATGTCCAAAACACGAGTCACGGGAGCTTCACATCAAAGAGTAAGATTATGGAGTTAATAGAAATTAACAAGACAGTCAACGTCCGAAATAGGAGAAACGAGTGTAGAAAACTGAGTAGGAGCTATTTGCGGCTGTTGGATAGGCTTGTATTGATGCATCTCTACACTTTTCACATTCAATGTGTAGTTTTGCTACATCCCGCACGTAGCCATGGCTCAACAATCTTGGACATAGAGATCACGTGAATGTATGACTTATCTTCACTCATTATTTCGCGCCGACTAATCAAAGCTTGGCACCGCATCGTCCAACCAGAAGTTAACATGGAAAACTACTCAAGTAGCTGGAAATGAAAATCGTTCCAACAATCTTGGCGCAGCAAGCACCAACACATATGGACAATATAATCAAGATGTATAGAACAATAAAAGGAAACGATCAAATAGCCCTACATACAGACAAAGGTGACAGAGTGGTAATGAACAGGAAAGAATATACAGAGAAAATATAAAATATTCTCGGAAACAGTACAACGTACAGTACAACAAAAGACCCTACAGTTAAAATCAAAGGGGCATTACAAGAAATGCTGAAATGAATATGAACGGGGAAAAGGCAAATGGACAATAAACTCGCTAATACGAAAGGATGCAATAGCCCAGTAGCATACGAGTGCTCCAGAGTTTTGAGCATAAATTACAAGGACTGTAAATAAAAATACATCTGAGAGACGGATAGGA